TCTCTGCAACCTCCATCTCCTGAGTTCAACCAATTCTCCTGTCTCAGCCTCTCCAGTAGCTGGGATTATAGGCGTGTGTCACCACGCCCAGCTAATTTTTGTATTTTTAGTAGACACTGGGTTTCACCGTGTTGGCCAGGCTGGTCTTCAACTACTGACTCAAGTGATCCTCCCACCTCAGACTCCCAAAGGGCTGGGATTACAGGCATGAACCACCGCACCCAGCCAGTGATAATGGTTGCACAAAAATATGTAAGTATGTAATGCAACTAAATAGTACATTTAAATATGGTTAAGATGGTAAATTTTGTTGTATATACTTTATCACAATAAAAACAAACACATAAAAATTGTGAATAATGACATAAATCCTGTATAAAGAAAAAATGCTAAGTAGGGAGAAAAACCAAAACTAAGATATATACTGGATAAAATTTGCTGAATCTCCTCCCAACCCTTCTCACTCCTAGGACAACTACTCCACTACTCTACCACCAAGTAAAAGGCCACGGCAAAATCATAAACAGAGGAAAAACAGGGAATCACTCAACAAAACCTCAAACTTTTCCAACACTCAGTCCTCTCCCACTTCCACTCTTGCATATCTAGGATGGGTACTGACACTTCTATTTTAAGTGTTAAAGAACACGGTCCCTCTGAATCTCACCTCTTCCTACTGTACTCTGTACGACAGTCCTCTAATTCTCACCACGAGCTGATGCTTTCGGTTCCTGTCCTCAAAAGGGAATTCCCTGAAGCGTGCTAATCCCTCCACTTCCCACACATAAGAGTCTGCATCTACTTACCAAGATCTGCTAAGAAGATTTGCTAGTTTTCATAGAGACCAATTTTTTCCTGTTCTATTTTTGAGTACTCCCCTCCCGCTTCAGGTTTTCCCAACACCACCTAATTGCCACCTAGCAGTGAGACATCACTGTTTTCCAGCAATGAAGACCATGTACACAAGGACCCAATGGTTCATCTTTTCAAAGCTTCAAAATATTAATGCTGCTCTTTGATGCTAGCTGCCTGCCACACCTCCTACTCCTGAGATCCCAAAATAGCATGGCTTACCTTTGGTGTCCTGCATGACAATTGAGCTATACTTTAAAAAGGTTATCAGTAGATTACTGGTCTGTACATCTGCATCCAGTGGGAGTTCCACAGAACTTATAACTGGAATAGAACAGATAAAATACACTTAGCCTGCAACATATTCCATCTAACACTTCTACCCACATAGCCCATTTGCCAGCAGGCAAGAAAATCACTAAATAAGCTTTTTCCACAACAGAGGGAGGACCAAGTGCTCATCATAAAACTTTTATCTACTCTTCCTAAGCCTGTAGAGCCCTCTTCCTATTCCCCAAATTAAGCCCAATGACCTGCTCTCCTACCTAGGGCCAGTCTCCAAGAACAGAGCTTTTTCTCCCAACATCCTTGGAAGGTTATGTCGCTTCCACATCCTGCCCCAAGTACCTGCAAAGAGTTTAAAGCCCTTCTTAAAGGCACTTTGATTTCTACCTAAAGAAAAGATCTGTATTGAATATAAATGAGTTTTACTTTGATGGGTCTCCTAGTTAAATTCAGTGACGATTCCTTCCTAATAAGGAGAAATCTTGCTGAATTTTGAGACTAAGTCTTTAAGTTGGACGTACCCATGATAGAGAGGGAAAAATGTTAAGGCAGAACTATATTCAAATTCTACCACTACCAAATGGTAGAATTCCCTTCCCCCCGAAAGGAAACTGAAAAGGAATAGTAGACTCAAAACAGATGAACAAGCTGGGCACAATGGCTGATGCCTGATATCCCAGCACCTTTGGGAAGCCAAGGTGGGAAGATCACCTGAGATCAGAGTTCGAGGCCAGCCTGGCCAACATGGTGAAACCCCATCTCTACTAAAAATACAAAAAGTAGCTGGGCATGGTGGTGGGTGCCTGTAACTCCAGCTGTAGGCAGGCTGAGGCAGGAGAACTGCTTGAACTGAACCTGGGAGGCAGAGGTTGCAATAAGCCCAGATGGTGCCACTGCACTCCAGCCTGGGTGATACTGCGAGACTCTCTCAAATAAATAAATAAATACATGAAAACAGATGAACATCACTTATTGGAACAGCCTGGGAACTGAGTTTTATGTACCCAGCTGCTGTTTCCAAGAGAAATCCTCTGCCCAATTTTCTCAGCCACAGTCCCAATGAACAATGAGGGATAATTGGTCTCTAATGACCAGGGCTGACCCATACGGAACAGTCTTTTTTCCTTTTTTCTTTTTTTTTTTTTTTTTTGAGACTGAGTCTCACTCTGTCGCCCAGGCTGGAGTGCAGTGGCACAATCTCACTGCAACCTCAGCCTCCTGGGTTCCAGCAATTCTCCTGCCTTAACCTCCCAGAGGAGCTGGGATTACAGGCACCTTCCACCACACCCAGCTAATTTTTGTATTTTAGTAGAGATGGGGTTTCACCATGTTGGCCAGGCTGGTCTTGAACTCCTGAGCTCTAGCAATTTACCTGCCTTGGCCTCCCTAAGTGTTAGGATTATAGGCATGAGCCACCATGCCCGGCCCAGAACACAATCTTAATGTAGACTTCCCAAAATTCTAAGACTTTAAATTAGACTCAGACCTCTTGTTAAGTGGTTTTACACTGCCTAAGACATAATATATAAGTAAAAGGAATCTTATAATGGCCCAGAAAAGCTAGAGAATCTATAGCATTCTGCTACATTTTCAGCCATGAAGACTCAGTTGAGTTTGGGATATTACCCATAATATGTATTCATAACCATAACAGATCCCTCTGGAGTTATTACAATATATGCAGAGAACGTTTATTAACAGTGGGAAACATTTGGATATTATGAACCCATAATAAACAGCAAGCACAACAAAAAGCCTTATGAAAAGAAATCGGCATGCCCAACCACTGGCTATCTTCCCCATTAGGCCTCCAAAAGCTAATATAAGACAAATGTATTTTATGTTGAAATACTAAAAGGTTTTAATTCATGTTATGGGTTAATGACCTAAGACTGTCATTTCAAACCACAGCCTGTTTTGAAGCTCAGGACCTATAATCATCCCTTTGTCCAATACAAGGAGGTATCTAACTGGTAGGTGGGGCTTTTTTCCTGCTAATACACAGCAATAACTGGAAAACTATCTTATATAATATGTAGAAATATAGAAGTATATATCTTTTTAGTTTATCAGAAAGTCCTCTCATGCCAAGGCTGAGTTGTCAAATGTCAAGTCTGAGCTGAGAACAAATGTTATAGCTAAACTGCTGGCTTTTAAAAATAATGACTCTGGTGACATACTTTTAAATATAACTGGGCTACTGAACACCACTATAATTAAGAGGCAAAAAATTAAGAACAAGGTTGTAATACTTAGGACCCCTACAGAAGGAAATGAATTAGGAGACAGGAAATAGAACAAATAGAACAGAGACAGAATAAAATCCCTCACAAATTAAAATCTTCTTCCTAAGCAAGAGTCATTCCTTGATCTTTGGCTTCATAATTCTTCCCAGCAGCTTTTGTCAAGGGAGACAGTCATTTTAAAGTGGGCTGACTTGATCTTCCCACTAGAAAAAATAAAAGCTCACTGGTTGTAGGTAAGTAAGCACAAATCCTGCCATTGCATAATCAAATGTGTGGGTGGAAGTGTTCACAATGAACAGTTTGAAAGGCAGTTCTCTGAAGCATCCAAACCCCAACATCACATGGAACTCATACATATATATATATATGGCTTTTGATATCCATGGTAACCGGGCAGGCTTCATCCTTAAAGAGAAAGTATAGTATTTCCATTGGGTTATTCTGTGGCCTGAATAAACAGAGACAAGTAGGCAAGTCTTACTACTTGCTCGTTCTCAGTGAGATATTTTGGGGCTGAGCATGGTGGCTCAGGCCTGTAATCCCAGCACTTTGGAAGCCCAAGACAGGCAGACCACCTGAGGTCAGGAGTTTGAGACCAGCCTGGCCAACGTGGTGAAACCCCATCTTTACTAAAAATACAAAAATTAGCCAGGCGTGGCAGTACATGCCTGTAATCGCAGCTACTCAGGAGGCTGAGGCCTGAGAATCACTTGAACCTGGGAGGCAGAGGTTGCAGTGAGCCGAGATCAGACCCCTGCACTCTAGCCTAAATGACAGAGCGAGAAGTTGTCTCAAAAAAAAAAAAAAAAAAAAAGGCATTTTGGGATTTGGTTTTCAATTCTAAACAGATCCAATTTGCTACCATACATACGACTAACAACGGCACCTCCCTGTCATAGTTCTGCGCTGCTTATACTGTCTTGAAATGTTACTACCACAGGTGTTATATGAAAACTTAAAGGAGAGAAAGGATAAATAAAGTCATTTCACAAACAAATAGTGGGGAGGCAAAAAGAAAAGGTCAAAGTTAGATTTTCTGTGCCTCTTTACCCAAAATGAGGTCAATCTTTGAACTACAACATCAAATATTAACATAGATTGTTTTTAGGTTACAATATTCCACCAAACACACTCAGCCTATAATAGAACTCAAAGTTTTTGGCAAAAATTCATAATTTCTTTTCTGTTGCCTTTTTCTTAGGTTCCAGCCACAAGATTTATGAAGGGGAAATTTTCATTATTGTTGTTTTGAGGGAGAGAAATCTTACATACCCACTAAACTCCCAATTAGAATACACTCAAAGCCTGTCATTTCCAACTGGAAGTGGCTGACAGACACATTAACAGTGAATGAATCCTACGTTCACATTCTCATTCATTTATTCAACAAATATTTAGGTTCACATTCTCATTCATTAATTCAACAAATATTTATTAAGCAATTATCATGCCAGGCACTATGCTGGGCATATAGTAGTAAACAAAACAGATATTATTCTGCTCTGATTACATGTTTAGATTCTCAGTCTCTACTCTCACTAATCTTAGGCAAACTGCTTCATTTCTCTGGCCTCAATTCCCCCACTGATCAAATGGTAACATGAGATAACATTACTATTTTACATTCATTTCAGTGCTTCATAATCACAAGGTGGCATTTTTCACAAAATATCTCATCTTAGCCTCACAAGGACCCTCACAGGGTGGCAAGACAGGCATTACTGACCTTTCAGGTCTAGCACTCCGCAACTCTGTAACTATTCCCTGCACAGGAAAAGCTAGAGTTATATAAGTTTCTTTTGCAGAGAAAATCACTGGACTGTCTTTTCCAAAATTTTCTTTGAAACTTTAGGAGGCCTGAAGGATAGTACTACAGACAAATGTAGTGGAAAGAATTAACAACCACATTCTTTGTTTAACACAGCTATGCTCACTCTGAGAGATCTAAGATTTATTGAGAAAAGCAAAGTGGTGGTGGGCTCACCATCAGAGGAGGGTGGTGTAGTCCCAAGTGGTGTGGCTGGGGTTGTAGGAGCAGGACTGACAGGGGTCGTCACCAAGCCCATTTCTGGATGGCTCTGAAAAAGAACACAGATGTGTAAGAAAACAGAAAATCCAGTTCTCCCTGAGTATCAAGTGCCTAATACTGGTAAGGACTGATATTCTGGGCCTAATAATTTTTCTTTTCTTTTTTTTTTTGAGACAGCATCTTGCTATGTTGTCCAAGCTGGTCTCAAAGTCCTAGGCTCAAGTGCTCTCCTGCTAAGTGCCCTGAGTAGGTGGGACCACCGTGCTACTGTGCTCCTAGTCTCACAATTAGAAAGGTCACTGAAGGAGGACTACTTCTGCATTTATTTCTCATGAGTACTTGACTACTGTTGATGCTTGCTAACTTCTAATAAGAAGCTGTGTGTGCAAATTTATCTTAAGCAACTAGGTTCCCATTATGTAAGTTTTTCTGTGGCACAACAGAAATTGAAAAAAAAAATGGGGTAAACAAATATACAGGACTATTCTACAAGAGAGCAGAGAATATTTGCAATCCCATCCAAACCTAGGATCTCATCAGATCATCCTAAAACACATCAATAGGCTGTTCTGATAACCACATAATTGACTAGCAGATACAGATGAGTCAAGGGGATACCAGGTACTACAAAAAAAGCTATTCAGATGGCGGCCTTCCTGTTCCACAACCAACAAAAGTGTGTATGCCTTCACTGGGAGGCAAGATATAGTGAGACACCCAGTAGCGACCAAAACAGATGACTCTTCTGTCCCTAACTTTTCTTAGCCATTACTGCCACATCAGCTCTTGAGAATTAAGCCAAGTGACCGCTGTTTTTAACTTCCCCAACAGCTTAACTGGCTCTTTACCTTCCTCACCTCTTCCTTTAAAATCAGTTATAAGACTTGGAGATCAGATAAGGAGCAGAGTGAAAATAATAACTGAAGTCTCCATGTTATCAGTCATGAAAACTGGTAAGTGTTCTCTGAAGCAGATCTCAAACCAGCACGATGCTTTTTAAGCATGACCTTATTTTTTTGTTAAAATTCAGATCAATAGATTCCATATACATCTGCCCTTTGAGAAAAAGCATAAGCAAACTTTACCTTAAAAGAACCCTACATACATATTTTAAACAGACTGGGTTTAAGATAAAAACACTTTATCAATTTTTTAAGATGGTTACAGCTCTTGAGTTCTCAGTCTACCTAGTCTCCTACTATGTCAATTACTGACGCTATCCCTCAGGCATGTGACCCAGTGTTCAGGATTCTTTTTTTTTTTTTTTTTGACAGAGTCTGGCTCTGTCACCCAGGCTGGAGTACGATGGCGCAATCTTGGCTTACCGCAACCTTTGCCTTCCAGGTTCAAGTGATTCTCATGCCTCAGCCTCCCAAGTAACTGGGATTACAGATGCCTGCCACCACCCCCAGCTAATTTTTGTATTTTTAGTAGAGACAGGGTTTTGCTATGTTGGTCAGGCTGGTCTCAAACTCCTTACCTCAGGTGATCCACCTGCCTCAGCCTCCGAAAGTGCTGGGATTACAGGCGTGAGCTACAGTGCCCTCCCAGTGCTCAGTATTCTATGACTTCTTTTCAACGTATGTAGACCATGTTATCTGTTAACAGCTAACCTTATCCTGGCCAGCATATCTTTTAGTTTTTCCTCTGGAAATTGGTGAGATAATAAGATGAGTGACTGGGCCTATTTTATCTCTGGCTGTAATTCTACAGTGGTTTGGAAAGCAGAAAGTCCAATATAAAAATCCACATAGCAGATAATACCAGGGATTTCTAGTGAGCAAAATGAAGTAATCACAACTCATTTGGGTTAACATAATCAGTAAACTGGCCAAAACCACTAACTTTGCACGTTATTAGACCGATTTCAGTACCGGATAGAAACATCCGTATTTGAGGATAGCAGGAAACAAAGGCAACTGATGCCAACTCCTTGTTACTACCACTTACCAATGCAAAACATGGTTTAAACAAGTACAGCCAGATAAGCTTTTCAATGGAATGAATCGGTATGAAATTCAAGGAGAAAAAAAACACTGGGATTTTTAATATAACCAACCTGAGCTAATACTGTGATGAAGTTGCGATTTAAATGAACAGCTTCATAAAGTGCCAGAAGAATGGCCTCATTGGTTCTAAAGAAAAAGAGAACAAATTGGAGTGGCTCTTATAGTGGGGGAGTTAAAACAGTATAACTATCAGGATAAGATTATACCCCAGCACCTCATTATCAATCTCTTTGCATTTCTAAAGTTCCCCTTTACTCACCTTTTGGGCATATGCAAAGTGTATAGGCAGAAGTCAGGGCCTTAACTTTAATTCCTTAGGACTAGTTCTCATCTACTTCATTACCTTCCCTCTGCTTTTCCACCTCAACCCAGCTAAGTCAACTGGCTCAGACACTCATCCCTTTTTTGTTTCATTGCCGAGATGGGCTGGGAACAGTTGTTCAGCAGAAATTTCTAAGGGTCCATTATTGTTCAAAACCCATGAGACATTTGAAAATCACCAAAAAAGTATGAGTCTGTAAAAAATTAACAAACGGGTAACACTGCACACTCATATCCGGCAGGACAGCCCACACAAAAGTCCAAGTCACTGCAGAAGAATGTCAGGCACTTACTGTACTGAGATTTTCTCATGGGCATCTGCTATGAACATGCTGCCCACCTGTGGAAGAAAAGGGGAATTGCAGACTTGTAGCAGGAGGATGGGAGAGGAGTTCTGTTTTTTATCCATGAAAAAAAAAAAAA